AATTCTTGTTATCCTTCATTTATACCCACGACCTCTTTTACTATCTCTCAAAACACTCTCATTAAAGATATAAACAATCCCATCTAATAACCAAAAATTATAACCAACCGAACATAAACTTTTAACGCAATCCGAAAGGATAAAAACATTACTAGTTCTAATAGAATTATGATCAATCAAACCATTAAAGACAACATCAATTAATTCATCATCCAAAATGTGAAATATTTTATGATCGTTATATAAATGTTGTCTAACTTGAAAATAAGAAACAGGTTTAGAATAAAAGGATTTTGTATATAAAGAAGGATAACAAGAATTAAAATTGAAGAAATGTTGTTTACATAATTTACATTGAAATATATTATTTGATTTCATATTACAAAGAACAGCTTTTTGAACAGATAAATTGTTAGAAGAAGTAATGGAATCATTAATTGTGAAAGAGGAAAATGTTTTTTTAAGATTTAAAGCTTCATTCCAAATTCTTGGCATTAAAGTTTTTTGTAAAAATTCATCATCCCATAAATTATAAGGATCGTTATTATGAAAAGGAGGGTTTTGAAATGAGGGACACCAAGGAAGATATTTGTAAAGTAATGAATGTTGATCCAAATTAATAGAATCTTCGAGATTTAATGAAGTGGAACTTGAAGTTAATGAATTTGTAGAAAAAGGAGGATTGTTTATATCTTTAATGAGAGTGTTTTGAGAGATAGTAAAAGAGGTCGTGGGTATAAATGAAGGATTATAAGAGTTTGAATAAACACAATTGGAAAAGCCAGAAGAAGTAGAAGTAAAATGGGTAATAGACGTATACATGGGTAAAATATCTATATTTGAAAATTTTTCAGAGATTAGTTTGGTAACAGAATTTTCGATAATGGCATCTGGTTCCTCCACAAAGTTGATTAAAGAGTCTACTGAGCTTTCAGAACATAAAGATGTATGAAATGTGTTAGATGCGTTAGATGCGTTAAATGTGTTAAATGCGTTAGATGTGTTAGATGCACTAGATGTGCTAAATGAGTTGGATGCGCTAAATGTGTTAGATGTATCAGATGTGTCGAGAATTTCGATATCAGATAGCGTGAGTACTTCAGAAGAATCCATCGATTTGATTGATTTTACAGATTCTGGTAGCCAAGTTTTCGCTAAAATAAAAATATCATATTGCCTCATTTGAAAAACAGTCTCCCTAGACCAAGAACTTTCTCTTTCTCTACGACGTTGTCTTTTACGTTCATAAGATTCTTCGTACTCTTTTAATAATTTATTTTTTAAAAGTAACCAAGCACGTTCGGTAAATGGAAGAGCAGATCGTTGGAACATAAACATGTAATTTTTATAAGTTTGACAATCTTCAAGAATATCCTTGTCAAACTTCAAACAATTATTTTCGTTCTTTTCATCTTTCATTAATAGAATTTTTGTTTTAATTAAATTGGAACGTTCAAATTTCTTTTGAGAATTTTTCATATTTTTCTCCCTTAATCCTTTGTTATTTTCCTTTTTACGTTCAATAATATCTTTCATTTTTTCATCACCCTTTCTTTGTTTTTGATTTAACCAATCTTCTCGAAGTGATGGGGGATTTTCTGGAATAGAAATGTATTCTTTTAACGTTTCAATAACATCGGTCTTCCAATAAAGACTTGATGGATTTTTTTCGGTATCATTATCCCAATCACGTCTAGACCATGAAGGTATAAATGGTAAACCAGAGATTATATCATCTAAATTAGAAAGTTCAGGCATAATCTCTTTAATTTGATCATTCCTACATAATCATTAATTTTAAAGCATTTAGAATTCGTTATTAATTAATAATTCATTAAGAATAAAAATAAAATAAATTAAAAATTTTATAATACCTTATAGTTTTTGATTTTAAACAATCTTCACAACATCTAACCAAAAATTCAAAATAGACTTTACGAATTTTTGGTTTTTTACAAAATTGACAACCTCTTTCTAATACAAGTTTAACATATTGACGTTCAGTCATACCCTCAGGTGGAGGCATTTGTAAAAAAGGTAAGAATTCAATTCTAGAAGTTCGCCAAATTTCTTGAGTAGTAATTGAAGATTCAAAACATAAATATCCATTAAACAATTTACAAACTTGAGCTAATGAGAGTAAATCTTTTGGTGGTAAATATTGACATATATTTATAAACATTTCAGGCGGAAGGGTAGGAAAAATGCAAATTCCAATTGGAAATTTTGCTTTTTTACTCCCACATTGAATATTTTTTTTACGTAGAGCATTATTACAAGTTAATGACATTGAAATCACAAAGTTAAAGATAAGTTAAAGATTTATTTTTAATGATCAAGTTAACTTGTTCGTAAACACAGTACATATAAATCGAAATTACAACAAATGAAAGAAATAGCAAGCAATTTTTTTTAGCCGAGAAATATTTACATAGGTAGTTAGATTGGTGAAACTCGGAACTGATTTAAATTTCCGAACTTATAATAATTATAAAAAATTTATAATTATTATAATTATAAACGTTGAGCTACAGAGATTAATGTAAGATAAATGTAAGATAGGAAAAACTATCTGAAACGTTAAAGATGCAATACACATGTATTTACATACATACAGCAAATGACAATCGTTAATAGATTCGGTACAAAATACTCAGCCCATCAAATTAGACTAATTGTAGTGCTGATTCGGCGATAAAGTGTCAGACATGTTATATTTATAGAAGATTATCTAATCCAAATTTAGGGACAAAGTAACGTGAACTTTCTTTGTTCATCACGTGTGATATAGTGATGTTTCATTTTTTTATTGTTGTATTTTAGTATATAAGTATTGTACATAGGTAATCTAAGTTTGTTGATTATCTTTCAACAGTTATAGTAATGATTAATGTAAAGCTTTCTAGTTTCGATAATGTTGTAATATAGACACAAGTAAATAAATGAATAGCACAGACACTAACGGATTGTTTTCAATCATATTTTAAATTATTATAATTGTATTGAATTATATCGAATTATATTGTGTAAGTTTGTACAAATAATTATTGCAGTTTACGTAATTCGTTTCCAAAAGTTTATGCTAGGCAATTCTTTAAATTTAATGGTAATTTATAGTATAATTAATACGATAGTGCAGGAAAAAGTTTAATCTATGTACAGTACATATATATAGATAATAATTTTTTTTATTATTATTAAATTTCTAGATTCGAAATTTATTAGATTCGGGGAATTTAATTAACCTAAGTAAGAAAATATAACATTCTTGTGATTGGTTAATTACATTTGAGTAACTCTATAATTAAGGGTTTGTTCGAGATTATGTCAGGTTTCGCCGAAATTACGTACGTGCAATTCTATATAGTTATTGGATGCGAAGCAGCCAATAACGGAAATTATTTGTAAAATAATTTCATTATCTGGCTGTGAAATT